CATTAAAACGAACGTGGAACTAATTAATTTACAATGTAATACAGGTTTTATTCAGAGAGTTGAAGACACAGATTTTATTAACTTTTATTCGAAAAATAAGTAAGCTCAGTTACGAATTTTGGCACTAAGAATAGTTGCTTTATTCGGCAATACATTCAAATGTGAAGAGCGTTTTTTCATAGTTGAAATTTAGTAATTAACTTACTCGATTGACCGATGAATATCTAAAATTCGTAATGAAGATAATTTTAGAAATTTCTTTCCAAAGCTGTAAACTTTATTGGAATCGAAGCGCCAAGTGCAGTAAGAAATAAAGAAGTTTATGATTATTTACATTAGAAACATTAGTCTTCTTATTTATGCATCGAAGAGAAATTTAATAAATAAGAGAAAGAATGTATGTTGATATTATTTATTCAAAAATTTTCTCTGAAAACAAACTTTTAATAATTTTCTTATTTCTAATTTAAGTTATTAATAACTAATAAAACACGTTAGAATTATTTGAAAGAAATGTCAGTCTAAAAATTTAATATTTAGCTCTCAATATATCTGAATTATATAGTTTAACCCCCCTCAAAAAATGCCTTACTAGACATTAGATTTCAGATTAGCAAATAAAATACAAATATGAATTTTTTTCCTACGTGTCATTATTATTAATAATAATTTTTGTGTAAGTTTCAATAAATATTTAGTAAAATTTATTTAAAGCACTATTATTTTTTTAGTAAAATTTTTTATTTTTATTTTAAAAAAGTGTTGCCCTGTCAACTACTTATATATAGTGAATTCTACCCTGCAATTTGAGATTCAGACAATTGTTTTAGAGAGCAAAACTGAAACTATAGAAATAAAACATGTACAAAAATTAAACATATTTCTCATTTAAATGATTTTATATAAGGGGGAAAAGGTTATTATATACAAAATATTTTATGCCGAGGTTGTTTACATATTTTTAGAACGAGTTCGGGGCCATTAGATTAATGTTTAAAATATAAAGAGTATTTTTTAAATGTTCCCTTTGATAGCCTTTTTTTTTGGGGGGGGGACTATGAGTCTGCATCGTGATCTCTATAATAGAAGGGCAGAAGAAAAAAATAAATAAGCTCAATTTACATTTTTTTTTTTTTTAGCTACGAATAATCGTTCAAGGGCTATCTGCCTAAGGGAAGGGATGCCTTCGTGGAGGGCTTTCTAAGGGAAACTGGCCCTTATACACATTACACATGAGGAAAACCACAAAAACGCTCATGTAGACAGCCTGTATGCGTGCAGGAAAAATTTAACAAATGAGAGAAAGAGACTAGGTTGTCATTATTTATTTTCAAGTTTTGTCCCGCTTGGTAAATTGTCTCTGAAAACTTAGAAAGTTTTTATATAGTTTAAATTAAAGTGAGCGGTTTATTGGTTAAATAAACGTGTTAGATCTATTTTAAATAAATATCAGTCTCAAAATGTAATATTTGGCTGTCAGCATGTTTGTTTTACAGGGCCCACCAGCGGCCGACCGGTAAATCCGCTGAAGAGTGGTAGTTCGGTTTAGGGTTCGGACCCTTGCGAACAGGCTGTCCACATGAGCGTTTTTGTGGTTTTCCCCAAGTGTAATATGTATACGAGCCAGTTTCCCTTAGAAAGCCCTCCAGGAACGCATCTCTTCCCTTAGGCAGAGCTTTTGAATGCTTTGCCATAGTTAAACAAACTATGTTGTTGTAAGTGTAACCAATAAAATTGTATTGCAGGTACCAAACTTTAAATTTCAGATTCCAAATAAATATAAATTTGAAATTTTTTCCACTGCGATTTATTATTATTGTTTATGTGTATTTTGATAAATATTTAGTAAGGGGAATTTTAAAGTATTTTTAATTAGTGAATGGAATTTTTCATTTCATTAAAAAAAAAAAAATCTAGTCCGTCACTTGTTTTTCAGATCGTGGACATTTGAATCTGCGACCACTGTTCTAGTGGGTGACACCGTTCACCTCTAGCAGTTCGACCTGGATTCTTAAGTAGCTGGGCTGGGTGTATGGATAATGAAAACGAACATTTCTGAGGAACCTAACACAATATTCTGCTGTTTGGGAAATAGTTTTTTTTCCTAGGCGAAATTTTTTTATTTGTAAAAAGAATTGGATGTGTACTATAAAATTGCTGATTTGTTGCTTTATTTTTATTTATTTATTTATTTGACTGAAGTTAATTCTTTGAAAACATAAAACATTTTCTCCGCTGAATTTTCACGAGTTCTACATCAGAATTATTATTTTCACATTTCTCCATCAGGGAAATTGGCACTTTATGTAATCGTTAATCACTAGAATAACAGAAAATTCTGTTTATACTATTTCTGCTATTTTATTGAAATATATAAATTTCGAGTTGCTGATACGAAAAATTCTCTATTTCCTTTGCTTAAAGTCACTTGAATCGAAATTTCTTGATTTTCAGATCTTAAACAGAGTGCGAACTTTTCAGGTTTTGTGGGAAATCTTAATTCTAATCGGAACCCCAAATAAGATGAGCTCCTTTAATTTATGAAAAATTTCGGCATAAATATAACTTAACTTATAAGTTTTTATTTTTTATTTCTTTAAATTTAATTTAATTATTTATCATCTATTATATTTATTTTATAGTTTTTTAGTATTTTCTGACTTTTTTTAGGACTGTGGTAATTTAAAAAATTAAGTCTTATATTTTCTGTTATGTACAGAAGAAACGAATTCACTGTAACTGAACCTTAACTCATTTTTGTAATGTAGAAAAGTCATTTGATCCAAAGAGCTTTCAGTTATGTATAATTATTATTTTTCTGCAATGTTATGTTGAACGAAAACGTAATTTGATTTTTTAAGATCCCAGAATCATCTTGTATAATTTTACTTTTTAATATAAATTTGTTGCCGTGGTTTTATAAAGAAAGAATTTCTGCGAGGCCTTTTTATAAAATGTGACATAATTGTGTAACTCCGTCTCCGTAACACGATGTCAGAAATGGTCCTAATGAATTTTCAAACCGTAAAATTTAAATTAAATTTTAAAAAAGTGTTTTTGATTTAATTATTTGCTTTTACGAAGTAATAAAATGAAATATTGCCAAAAATTCTTTAAAGGTATTGCTGCAAAATGCTAATTATATGTTTTAAAGTGAGAGTTCTTAGCGCAAAGCATACTCGAGAAAAATCACTCATCGTTCCATGATTTTGATCTTCTGAAGAGGTGGTCGCCATGGAAAAGTAGCGTTAAAATTCTAGTGTTGTTTATGTTCTCAGAAATATTGGTAACTTTCAAGTGGGGTCGTTTTAGAAACGTAGTCGCCATGAGAGAGTTCACTGTATTATGTTTTCAGTGTTTGTGTGCACAAATGCTGTTTTGTCGATTTCGTGCATTAAAAAGTGCTAAATCATGTTAATTTATATTAAATGAAAGAAATACAGAAATCTTATCTTTATCTTGTTTTTAAATTATTTAATTAATCTTTTTTAAAAAATACACGTTTTTCATTTAATGAATTATTTAAACCAATATTTTAATAAAATTTTGTGTACGTTTTTAATATTTGTGTCAAAATATATTCGACCCGACAGTTCTGCATATATATATATATATATCTAGAGAGTGAGGTATAGATATGGATTGGAAATCCATGTATATACATCGAATGGTCAAAGTCTTAGGTTTGCGAGAATTGTTACAGAACTCGAATATTTTTTAATTTTGAAGTAATAAGCCCTGGTTACTTCCCCCCCCATTTTGGAAACTTATTTATTAAAACCGTAGAAGCATAGCCATTGTCTGTCTATGCATATCTTCAAATGAATTGAATGCACTATTTGTAACAATAGCGAAAATTGTCTTTCCTCAAGTACTCAACCATTTCTGGAGTGCCCGATGACGTCAGCTCGGCCCTCCCTGGATTTTCCACGCGCCGGAGTGTTCTGATATTCAGGAAAAGCCAATAGGTCAAAAGAATAAAAGCAGAGCTTGAACCATATTCCTTGTTTAAGCTTACAACAGATAGGATGATCCAGTCATGAGTTTCAAAAACAATGGATCTGTCTGTTGATATACATGGACACAGACGAGAATTACGTTTAACATTCTTGGGTATTAAATTTTCAAAAGGGGAAAAAAAAAAAAAAAAAAAAAAACTGTTTACCTATACTTTTCTGCAAGATTTCACGTCCAGTTATATGGAACCGCAGTTATCCGAACCGCTATCTTTAGCCCAAATTTTTAATAATTTAATAACGAGTTTTATTCCGCCAAAATCAATTAATATGTATTATGTTGTTAATTATTTATATTATGTTCACATATATTTACTCACATTCTCTATTTTTCATTATTTATCCAAAAAATGGTTTAGTTAAGTTTAATGAAATAAAAATAAGGTGTACATTTTTTTCATTCATTCATTTAAAAAAAAATTTCTTTAGTGCAGTTAAAAAAAAATTAGTGTTGTATATTTGTTTAGTTAAAATTCCATGTAAATAGAAAATTGTTTTATAGTTTTACTTTAGTTGAAATATATCTGGAGGCAAATAAAAAATAATTCTATTGCTTAATTTGATAGAGAACTTGGATTTCCTATTTTGGTGTATGAGAATCAAAGTATTTGTTTTTCAGCTGCGTGATCTTTTCAAAAATAAAGTATGATATAAAAGGGGGAAAATGAAATTTTTTGATTTGTTTTGTGGTAAATATGCATATGATATGCAAGAAAATAGACAAAATTATTCGGTTTTTTCGTTATCCAGATGGGACAAATTTCAGTTATTTCGGATATCTGAAGAATTCCGAAATAGAATTTCCGGAAAATTAACTGTTTTTATAATTAATCAAAAGCTTATCATCATCTGATTAGTCATAAATATTATTTTACGTATTATTCGATTTCCATTTCTATTTTTAATATTTTACTTATTTATTTATTGTCATTATCCAAAGTAGGTGCTAGTTGTGATAATAAAAAGTACTTTTTTTATTTTCAGGAAATAGCATTTTTGTGCGCATCGCGTTTGCAAAGAAAACTTTTAAGGATTCGTGCTTATGAATTTCCAAATAAAAAGGAAGCAGAATAACAAGTGAACAATAAGTTTTCCTTTTCCAAACTTTACCATTTTCTTTGGAATTTTCCTGAAATTTAATTACTACATAACAGTAGCTATCGAAATGAAGTGGACGGGGGTCGAAAAATGTGAAAGCGGATCCACTGCCGAAACTTTACCAGAGGGCGCTCCTTACACCCCTGAACCAGTGCATATCAGCCCTATAAGGAACTCTAATATCGAGATCTACCTGAAGAAGCGAAGATTCGACCGTAATGAGACCCTGATGCCACCGACTTTTAAAGGAACCGGAACAGAAGGACAGGTTTCTGTGGGTGGAAGAGCAGATGGGGGTGGCCAGGCGATGAACCCCGATCGTCTGCGGGAAATCCAAACTGCGGTTCACTGCTCACACAGCAAGATTCCTAACAAAAGTGAGCTGAGGGCGCTTTGTATTCAAAGAGCAATGTTATCGGATGACGATGGAGATCGGTGAGTTATTTATTAAATTTAACTATTAATGAATGTTTAGTAAATGCAGTAAATTCTTAATCAAAACAAATATAATGCTAAAGAAATGAAGTAAAGAATTGATAAATATTTCGTCTTGGTTCGTTTTTGAAGCACAAAATTGTATTCTTCTCAAATTTGCAAATATTTCAAATTTCTTCATTTGAGATATATTTTATGATAAATATATATTTATTTATGTCTACTTAATAATATTTTTGATATGTGTTTATTACTATAATATTAGTTTTGATTAATTCCCGCCATTGTATTTTACGTTAAAGCCGAAGTTCTTTTCCTCATAAAATGTTTTTCGTTGCTTACTTCTGGCAACATCTCTACATATAAACAAGAATTCCTTTGTGCTTAATTTTCCATCGAAGTATTTTGATCCTCGCTTTAAAAACCGCAGTTGGCATATGTTTGCGGTTTTTATTTTTCCGCACAAGGTTTCATTAGACCAACTATATACGGTATTCAAAACATTTTTCAAAGGAAATGATTTGCAGGTGACCAAAAGCTGCTTTTAAAAAACCGCTCTTTAATGATTTTGAACTCTGCTTTTTTTTTTTTTTTTTTTTTTTTTTTTTTTTTTTTTTTTTTACGAAATTGCCGCAAATAGCCTAATACAGCTTTATGCACAGCTGTTTCTGGAATTTCCTAGAGGATTTATGCTTGAGGGAATATGAAGAAACTTAAATAATGCTTATGATATGATGAGTAAGTTTAATGTAGCTTTCTTGTCATTTATGAAACATTACATCATCATATTTAATGATATTACTATTGTATTCTTTTTAAAAATTAGGCTTCGAGCTAGGAAATTTTTTTTAAAGGTAGCAAATCCGCAAATCATAAATCGAATATATATATGTACGCTTTTTTTTTTTTTTTTTTTTTTTTTTTTTTTTACGTTTACCGACGTTCTACGGATAGTTCTACTTGTATTTGGATCTTACGCAAGCAAATTTAAAAACTGAGTGCAAATGAATACTACAAATTATAAATGTTTTTCAGTTAATCATTTTCTTCCGTAATCATTTACCATTAGTTTAAACTTTTGATAGTTTCCCTCTGCACCAAATATCGAGTTCGAGTCTGTAACTCATAATACAGATATTTGCGATGGAGGATTTTCGTTGTATAGAGGTTATCCAAAAAACGAGCGCATCAAACGTTCAAAAATTGTAGGAATTATGTAACGGATATTAATAACGTAGTTTCAATTAGTGACACCCATACGCTCTTACAAATAATATTATCACTTGAAATTTGAGTTGCAGTTTAAACTGTTGGATTTAAAATACCGTTTGTTTAGTGCAAAATGGATGTGAGTTTTTTCTCAGGGACAACAAATTTTTATGATTTAATATTATTTTCGCAACTTACGGAAAAGCTCCTAATGTGTTTTAAAGAGACCTTGCCATATATTCTTGAACCTCTGTTAACATGATTTCATTAAAAAATTTACCAAAAAATGTCAAATTAGGTTAATTGCCAAGAGGCGCAGAAATGTCGCCACTTGGTTTCGATTTCAGTGAATTATTTAAAATTGACTTAAAATTCGCAAAATGGGAATCTTAGTTTGAAGTATATTTTGAATAGCTCTGTCAGTTTGGAGAGCGATCATCAGACACTAGTCTCACTTCCTCTGGACGGGGGAAGAAGGAATTCCAAGAGTACCTCGTAGCAGACCAAAGAAAAAAGAATTCCCAGAAAACCTCTATGACAAGTGATTGCCATTTTGCTGAATTTAAAATTTTTCATTGGCATGGTGTCTTCCAGTGAAAAATACCTTCCGGATACTAAGATAAGAGGTAAAGCATCGGTCAGATAATGTCCAAAATTGTTGTGAACAGTTCATAAGTAAACTGTATATTGCTGTATTTATGTTTCCAAGCCTACAATCACCTTAGCACCAATATGAGAGGATAAATCACCGCATTCCATTGGGCAATCACTAAGCGCTGTTTGCTCTGAGAAGGACAGTTTGGAGGATCTCTAGGAGCCATCAACAAGCGGCAGAGCTGTAGCGGATTAAGCGTAACCCAGGGTGCACCACGAGGACGCCTGCCACACTACACCCCAAAGGTAAGAAGTACAGAGCAAATAAGAACTATAGCTTTGGAAACAACTGAGCAACGTTTTCCGGCTGAGGAATGGATACATGTATATACGGATGGCTCTTTGACCGATCAGATCCAGGGGGCTGGAGCTGGAGTTTTTAGCAAGCTTTTCAGTTTCTACATACCTATAGTGGCTTATTCCACTCAATTTGATGGAGAACTGAAAGCCATTCATGTGGCTGTCCAACAATTATCATTGAGACAGCGCTAGTTCAGGAGGGCTGTTGTACTGTCTGATTCGACTTCAGCAATACAGGCCGTCTCCTCTTACCAAGAGTGTAAGAACATATGTGTTCAACAGTGTCAGGAAGTCATAAAAGAACTTTCCCACGACATATCTTTTCAATGGGTACCTTCACACTGCAGTATTTATGGGAATGAGATGGCTGATATGCTTGCAAAAAAGGGGCTACGGTTCTCCAAAAACGAGTGCATGCATTCTACATTAAGCTTCTGACATCGCTAACATATCAAAAGACTTTTAGAGATTTTGCCACTAGGGCTTGTGAGGGCAAGCTTTGGAGTGTTCTCTCAACAAACCCAGCTTTTGTTTCTGACCACTCGCGAACAGTTGCGGTTGCACCTTTCAGACTATTGACGAGACATGACCGTCTACAGAATCATTTATTTCGCATTGGACTAGCTGATTCGCCGTTATGTGTTTTATGTAATAGTGGACGGCCAATGATGGCGGAACATTTGGACGAATGTGAAGCACTGACAAATTTTTCTTGTAGATTTCAGCGCTATTGGCAAGCAAGGAGTTTAATGCCCTAACGGCCAATGTAACTGCCATTTGGCAAATAAATATTGCTGTATTTATATGTGTCTAGTTACATTTATATTAAATTAGCTAAATTTACATTGATAATTTTAAGGATATTTTTTCCTCATCGTTTAATGTTATCAAAATTGCCTTGATTTAAACGCGATTAAGTTAAATGTCGCCTACTGTAATTCTATTTTATTAACAAGAAGGAAATAACTGATACTTTGCGAAAATATCAAGAGCAGAGGTTCTTTATAATACACTAATGCTTATGCTAGGGGTCCGAGCTATATGGTTAAGTCGAGCTGAACATTGGTAATTGTAGCGTGGATTTCGCAATCACAACATATTACTTATCTAACTTTCTTTAAAAAATCTAATAGACAGACAATCAGATTTAAGGCAGACATTCTTATCTGTATTTACTTTGCTAGTGCAAAATTATTTTCTAGTTCTGAACGCATATTTAAGAACCCGTATGCAGAATACCAAGGTTATATTGGGTGTCCCAACAAAAGCCCGGATTTAATATGTCGCCGCCCCCAAATACTTTATTTTCTATTTTTAGGAAGTGGAAAATATTTTTGCGTTCTTAAAAAAGACAAATGTTCCCATTTAAGCATGTCGAATTCGATTTGTCCTGGTAACACTGGCACTTAATTGTTGTCAGTTCATTTCGCAGCTACGTTGCAGTTTAGTAGACATGGCGCATTATGCAAAGGAACAGCAAGTTTTATTCTGAAAATTCATTACAAGAATGGAGATTGTTATGCATAGACTGTAAGGAAGCTTTGTGCAATTTTTGAACTTGAGTTTCATCGAAAGAGTGCGGTGCTTCAAATCAAGTCATGGAAGACCTTAAATCGAAACATTTACTGGAACTACTCTGATATGCGCCCTCAAGGCGCCTATTTTGGCGAGAAACTACACGCTGCCATATTGCTATCTAAATTTTTTGTCTACATTTCGAACTTTAAGCCTAAAATGTCTCCAAAAAATCTGTTTCGGCGAATGCAAAAACCACGTTTTGAACACATAATTTAAGCTAAAAATCCGAAACAAAAACAAAAAAATTTAGATAAGCAAAAACCGTGAAGATTTCTAACCAAAATTATTTTGACAAGAAGTCCATGTACACAGCGATATGTATTAACTTAAAAAAAATCGAATTGAACATACTACCAATGGCACAATCTAGGCAACGAACGAACTACGAACCACGAACACCTCGCTTTAATAATTAACATAACAATAAATTTCAAAGAATACCATGTACACAACATCCTGTTTCAACTTAAAAAAACATCTACGAATTGCACAATTTAGGCAACAACACGAATGTCAACGAAAACTACGCACACCTCACTTTAATAAATTAACATAACAACAATAAATTTCAAAGAATACCATGTACACAGCGTTCTGTTTCAACTTTAAAAAACATCTACGAATTGCACATTTTAGACGGTATGCACTAATCAACAAAATAACTAAAATAAATTTCAAACAATTCAAAAAAACAATAACGACAGAAGTTCATACTAAAAAAACAATGAACATAACTTTCTACAAAATAAGAACAAGAATAAAATAAAATGCACTTACCATTAATGCTTTTTCGAACAGCAGCAAAATACCAATTTCATACCGCCACGTAATCACTATCGTATTTATATGACAGCTAGACACACTATCCAGAAAATTCATACTATGGTTCACAAATAAATAAAATAACAAACAATCACGAATCCCTACTTCTATCACGCACAGCCACTAAAAATAATCTCCCTTACCTTCTTTCCATACCTCCAAATACCCATTGTCCCTCAACAGGATGGCCACGACGATTATGCCGAACTTCAATTCAACAACTTTCACCATTAAATCTTTCCCCCTAAGCTTCTCAGACACAAAGCATGACGGGAACCAACGAACTCCAGCGAAAGATTTTTCAACGTCAACAGGGTTGCCATACAACACGCAATCGCGCCAAAAACCAGCGCAGAACACATATCGCCACATTTGGTGAAATTAGGGCGTATATCAGAGTTGTACCCATTTACTTATTTTAAATAAGTGAAAATATT